CTAGAAGAATGGAAGATGACAACTGACTAGCTATGTGGCAGAGCAGGATTGGACCTTTTCAAATTTCTGAGAAGTTTCCTTCAAAGGAGAAGCTTGGACCAGGCACCGAGAAAGAGGGAGGGGAGGAGCCTTATGTAGAAAGGGTTGCAAAGGTTGTGTTCTGGCCTTTTTTCGTAGACTCTCAGTCTCAGCTACAAGATAGGTGAAGAGCCCAATCCCAAGTCCCGTTTGTCTGTTGAGATGGAGCATTTAATGCCTAGTTTGGAATCGGAGCCACCTGGTCTAGCACTGTTGAGCCAGGCAGTTTTTTAAAAGGCGTGGGAGGCGTACGCTTGGAGGCACGCCTCCAGGTGAGGCGCTACCAAAATGCCTTGAGGCGTATGCCAGAGGCGCTGACACCTCTGAGGCGTACGCCTCATGCACCTCATGCACACCTCATATAAAAAGACTGAAAAAAAAGAAAAAAGAAAAATAGGAAAGGAAAAGAAAAGAAAGGGAAGGGAAAGAAAAAGAAAGAAAGAGAAGAAAAAACAGAGAAAATGAAAGGGAAGGGAAGAAAAGATAAGGGGAAAGAAATTGGTCTGCCCCGGCCCCTTTGGCTGGGGGGCTTTGCCCCCCAGACCCCCCCCCTCCCCCCTTTTCGATGCAGCCCAATTTTTTTTTTTATTTAGGCTCGCTCGCCTCCGCTTCAACAAGACCCCCCTTTCAACTAGTGCTATGCATCTTTATTCTTCTTAATATAAAAGATTTTTATTAAAAATAAAAAAAATGAAATCCCCCCTTCCTCCTGACCCCCCTCCTCTTAAGGAGGCTTATGCCTCCTTGTGTTCAGGGGATTATGATTCCTATGTTCTGAACTATGCCTCATGCCTCTAGGTAGTGGAATGCCTCGCATCACGCCTTCACATTTTAAAATATTGGAGCCAGGTTCTACCAGTAAGGGAAGCCTTAACTCGAGTGAGCTCCATTGGGTCAGTCGGCACTGAGCCAGTAATTTCAAAACCAGTCTTACTTGTCCTAGTCCTAGATAATGAGAATGAGCCAGACGAATCAAGAGGTGGGCCACTTGTTGGTGGGCTTGATAAGGCCGAAAAAGTTACAGAGCCACTTGGTACTTTAAATGAACATGTGAGAGGGAGGTGTGTGTGCAGGTCGATGGATCTTTATTTGGGTTTGTCTTTGTCTTCTTCTATTCCGGCCGCAGGAGCAAGCCCCCAGCAGAGAAGACTCTTAAATGGAACCTTGAGTGGAAAGAAAAAAAGGGTTGTCTTTGTGTGTTGAAAAGGTCTGTAGATTTCAAAAAGTCCCTTTCTTCGAAGCTTGAAGGAGTCAAGGTGGCTTACACTAAGTATGGTGATTTAAGCAGCTTGGGTATTGCCGGGGAGGATTCTCTCCCAATGGAGAACCAGGGACAGGCTAAGGAGGACTGTGTTTTAGATTCTCTGGAGCTCTTGAACAAAAATCCAGCCCCTGGCTTTTTGCTTGAGGTGAACTGTTGCGATTCAGCGAGAGATACTTTAGGGGGGTTTTAGTTGGATGCACAGAATAACAGGACAGAGCAACAAAAGCAATTAGGGAAGGAAGTTGCAAACAACATTAGGGAGGAGAACCAAGAGAGCTTTACTCTAATGAATAAGGTAAAACCGAATTCAATCTTGAAAGATTCAGTTGTGACTTCTGTTGCCGATGAACTAAAGACAGTAAAAGAAGGAAAGTGTTCACTGGGACAAGGATTGTCACCAGACCACCCCACTATCACACAGGTTACTATTGGAAAATTAGTAGTGGATTTAGGAAGGAAAAGAGAGAAGCTCATTAGAAAGGAACTTCAGATCCTTGAGTTTTGAGGCTGGGTCAAGAAAGATTAAAAATCCAAACAACTGACAATTAGTATACATAGCGAAATTGTTCCATCGGCTGAAGGAAGTAAGTTTTGGGGATGGCCCTTGTAGTAAATTCAAGAGAACATATAAGAGAGATTGTGAAGACTAAAAGTGAAGAAAATAACAGTAATGGAAGTATTGCCCATGATAAGGCAAAGACAGAGGTTATAAACGAGGTTGTGGGATGATCCCATACAGATCATTTAGAAAGGCCCATACAGAGAAAGGCGGAAGGAAGGGAAAAGGAAGTTGGTTTAGGGGAAAATAACATAGAAGAAGAGAAGTTAACTGGGGAAAAGTAGGAGGTCTCAGAGGAAGATAATTCTGATGAGGAGCAGGAGGAAAGAGAGATGATGGACAGAGTTAGAAAGATAGAGAAGAAAGATGTGGACAAGGTAGCGGAAAGCACAGTTCAAGTAAATAAGGCTTTAGGTCTGGTGGTGTTAGGAAGGGAAGAAATGACAAGGAAGCTGTTCAAGGAAATGGAGGAAAGGTATCCAATGAGTGAAGGAAGATCTGTAGAAGGTTCCTAAGGGCTGTATTGGGGCAGGGCCTATTAAAGGTTTTGGGTCTTATCTGGGTTCAGGGTCTTGCTTTGCTTTTCTGGTCTATTTAAAGGGTTTGAATCCTTCTATTCTGTAACTAATTTCTAGGGTTGAGGGGTTGTGTTTCAGTGGGCCTTGGGTGTTATCTTGTCACCTGCTTGTGTATTCTCTTTCCTCTCTCTCTCTCTTTCCTCTTTTTTAATAGAAGTTTTCTTTTTTATTTATTACCAAAAAAAATACGGTAGCTTCTTGGACTGATCAAAACAGCCTCCAAAGAGTTCTCAATCCAGCAACTTAAGATGGTTAAATTAAAAAGTTCTTGAAACACTCATCTAAACCAATGATACAAACTCCTTTCACTTCTGATTGAATCACTTGCTCTGATACCATGTCAACTTGTGATCGAAAAAGAGAGAAACATACAATTCAGGGGTGTCAATATAATGACTTGACCCCCACGCACAAAGAGCCTTTTATATATTAAAATATGTACAATTACAAGAAAGCCCTTATAGGGCTGAAAGAGAGAAAAAAAATAAAAGAATAAGATATACAATATAACAAAGACTATTATAATAGAATACATCAAAACTCTCCACATTTAAGAGGTGTCAAGCATGGTCAAGGTGGAGAGCCGAATGAGTTTGGTCTAGTGATGAGGGTCAAATAATTTCTTTTTCTCTTTTTGACAAAGTGGAGTTGGGGAAAGAAGGATCTGATGCTGGAGGGGGTTCAAAAGATTTCTTAAGTCAGGCAATGGGTGCTAGAAAATATAGAATGAATCCAATAGAAGAACTAGACAAAAGAGGCAAGGAGGTCTTGACTGAACCCTTCAGAGATAAGGAGGTGATCATGGATGAAAGTCATTTTGTGCAGAGGGAGTTAGATTTGGAAGAGGTGGTTAACACGGAGATGGAGGAAAATAAATTGTTAGGGTTCTCTTTTGTCAGAGGTGAGGACTTTGTTGGGAAGGTTTTTAGAGAAGTTGAAGAAAATGGAGGTCAACTTTGGAAGGAGATTAGGGCATCTAAAGGAGGGGATGTTTTTTCTTCTTGATTTTAATCTCATTTGTCGAGTGTCCTTATTCTAAATTCTGGAAGGCAAGAATTTGTTCATTGTAAAGGTGTTTGTCGAGGGTGTTTGTTTTAGTTTGTTTTTTTTGGGGTGGTTTCTTATCACTCCTGTTGTAATTCTTCCATTTTCTTAATGAATTTTCTTTTTTATTTATCTTCAAAGAAAATTGTGCACAACGGTTATATAATTATTAAAGCTTACCTAAAATGCATCATTTTTATTTGCATAACTGGATGAATTAAAGAATTTTAAATGGAATGTATTTCTAGATAGGTCATTTAAAGCTTATCAAAACATAACCTCATCATGTTGCACTAACCGGATGAATTAAAGCTTACCTAAAAATGCGCCATTTTTATTTGTGTTAACTGGATGAATTAAACAATTTTAAATGGAATGTATTTCTAGATAGGTCATTTAAAGCTGATCAATACATAACCTCATTATGTTGCGGTTGATGCAGTTGTTGGCCTCTATATTGTTAGCATAACAGGCAAAGATTCCATAAGTAGTTTCTACTGTTGTATTTTTCCTGTCGACTACATAGGATTTCCATAAAATGGGAAATCTTGTTGGACCTAAAAACATTCATCGCACTCTCTCTTTCCTAGTTGACAAAGATTAAACTTTTCTGTTGCAACTTGGCTTGCTCTTTGAGAATTGAGAACTGGGACTTAATTAGAGCAGAATTGAAGGCTACTTGGCACGGCTGAGGAAGGCTAAAGCTATGAGGTTCAGCAACCTAATACTTGAAGGGGTTTCGAAGGTTATAACAGGTTTGTTATTGTTAGCAAGCAATGAAGGACCATATCGATAAAAAATGAAGGACCATGGAAACACAGATGCAAAATCAGAGAAGCTAAATGAATTATAAATGGGTTGGGAGCTATCATACAGTGAGTATACTTAGGACTGCTAATGGTCTAGCAGATGGGTTGGCAAAACAGGAGGTTAAGAAACTCAATGTATTGGGGGCTTACAGATCAAGGGGGAAGCTGAACTTGATGTTTGGTTACTACAGGTGGTTAGTTGAGGCTGGCCATCCCAATGATGTTATTGTTCTGTTAATTTGTATTAATCAATAAAGTTCACTGTTACTGATAAAAAACAGTGTTTCAACGTTTTATGCTATTACATAGGGGCTGTTGGCTGAAACTTACCCATGAAATTCATTATACATGGAACCACATTCAATTGGCCTACTAATTTGCCACATGAAGACTTGGATAATTTAGATCTTGTTTCTATACAACTTATCCAAAAGTCCTTTTCCCTGTGTTAAAAGTATATATAATGGAATAAACTGTAGATATATGGTGGCTCTTAAGTTTGTTGAGGTGTGTGTACATCAGACGTATCTGTCTCTGATACCATGCAATTTTGTACAAAGTACATAATAAATTTAGTTGCATTACCCCCGGTAAACTAAGAAAAAAGTATTATATTACTACTTCAAACATGAAATAGAACATACTGAATGATTTTTCATTTGTGTTAGGTGAATTGGAGCTACCCTTGATGGCATTGCTACTTGTGATTGTAGCTCCTTATCAATTCATGGACCTACGGTAAGTCAATCTAGGTTAGTAATTATGTGATTGATGATTTATTCTTTCAGATTTAGTTCTATTCACATTTTTGTATTTTTCATGTGCAGAGGGACACAAGTAGGTGCAATTGTTTCCCTGGTGATTGCTGCTTACTTGGCTTTCCAACATTTCTCCCGGTTGGGAAGCTTGCAAAGAGCATTTGACCAAGGATCTATTATTGCCACCTTAGCTGTGATCTGCATCACTGCTGTGCCCTGCTTCCTTCTAATCTGATATTTTTCTGAAGTGGCCAAAATGGTGCATAGAATACCAGGTACATAAACAAAGGTGCTTTTAAGAGGAAGGGAATGGTCACTTTCTGTATCATGCTTAAGAATTAAGATATATGTATGGTTTGTTAATAAGGAAGCACCGCAGCAGATATATGTAGAATATACTATCTGTACACTACAAGAATGTTCTTAAGTTGGTAAATGTTGGTAAAACAACTTTCTTTCATCTCTGATATTATATCATTATAATTGTGGCCATGCTTTAATTCCTATGCAAGGATTTTGTTTTCTGCCTTGAAGGCAAGGTTTCCACTTGGTATTGGCTAACATTTCATCATTGGAAAATCGCCAAGTAAATGCTCCTACTGTTTGATTTTGTCTATGTTACCATCTGAAAGTGTACATATTGTTATTGGTGAATGGCATTTTTGTTACCTTATTATGCTTCCTGATGCATTCCACAGTATACGTATTAAAGTTATGAGAACCATTTCAAGTACTTAAATTAAAGAGTCTGACAACATCATTAGATAAAGTTAATATTCTCCTGAACATGAAAAATTAAGTCTTCTATTTCAGTTTTGCTTAACAAAAGAAACTAACAAAACCCGTGCATTGCACGAGGACCAACTAATTTGAAATGTAACAAGTAACAAAAAGAAAGAATACTAATTAACTCTCAGGCCCACAAGCATAGGGTTCAAACCTGGCAGCAGCCATTATATTCAGTCTATAATGCCAAAAATGCCAAATAGCTGGGACCAAGTAATGGCCCCTTTTTTTTCTTTATGTTTTTTACTTTTGTTGATAATTATCCTAACATTACTTGAGGTTAATTAACAATGACAAAAAGAAACAATTTTGCTAACAATCTAACTGGTGGGACCAGATCTAGTAGGGACAGGTGTCAAAAACTTTTCTAAGTACTCGCTTACATGCCTACATCATCTGGACTGATAGGATGGGGCCTATTATGCCCCACATATGCAGTTGAAGCCCTATGCATCTGATGTAACCCTATAGAAATAAGGATCTTGATTAACCCATACCCTAGCATTTTTGGAGGTCATATTACAAGATATGGAAAATTTTGGCTGCCCGCATTGTGGGATTCCTGCCCACATAAAATAGTAACGTTTCACTGACAGCTCGGATCTGCTACCCACTTCTCTGTGGGTACAACTGGTGGGTAGCAGATTCCGAGTCGTTTTGTAACAAATTCCTTTGTAAAATAAAATATATTTATTTCTCATTCAAAGTCTCCATCCCCCGGAGCTCACATCAACCCTTCGGTCCACCTTTTACATGAACCCTTCAATACCATTGTGCCACACCATTTCAATTTTTATATTTCAAAATTAATGGGCGTCGGCCGTCGGCACTTAACGGCAGTTTGGACTCGAAAATTAACTTTTATGTAAATTTTCTCTCTCCTTCCTTTGGGTCCCTTTCCATCTCCTGTTCTACATGGTACCTTCAGGCCTTTGTTATTACGTCATCTTCAACTGAACCAAACTCCACCCCAATCTTCACTTGGAATGTCACCAACAAGGCCTTGAACGCACACCTCCGAATTCGATGATTTTAAAAAGTACTTTTGCCCTAATGTTTTTATGTTTACATGGTGAATATTGATATGGAAGTCTAATTTAAACTGCATGAATGCTGGCAATATGGCGGTATGGATTTGGAGTGGTTAATGAACCAGTTCATGGGTCTTTTATCTGACTAAGTAAGACATTGCTTGGGAAGCTTTGAAGGCGATGAATAATTTTAATATTGATATTGTAAATTTGTAATCAGAGGAATCCATGTCTGACAAATATGATTCAGAATATTTCAACTACACAATGACAAGTTTAGTGAAGTTCAGCAAAGCACAAATTCGAAGGCCACCATACACAACATTTCTCCCAGCATCTCATGCAAGTATCCAGAAATTCTGGGTTGAACCCAAATCTGGTTCAAGTTTGGAATGTTAGAAACTACGACCTGTTGTATGATCCTATTATCTTTTCCTCAAAGATGCTCAACTTCTCAATGGCAAACGCTCATGTCTTGTTAGCTCACAAGAATGGGATGTTGCTTGAAGAATCTGGTCTAGATCGACTTGGTAAGCCAGTTGGAAATGAAGAACTGGGTTTCTTCTTTTGCTAATTCTATTCAAATTCATCCAACTTTTGCATTTGAAGCTCTCGGCGCATGTGGCAAACTTTCATTGGAATATTGATGGACGGAAGGGTCCATAGGATGTGAGCTCCATTCCCCGTTTCTCTCACCTCTGAATAATGAGTTCAAATCAGCCCCCTACAAGATTGCCCCCCACAACGTTCCACAGCATATCCCCGGAAATGTATTGGGATCTCCTGATGATATGACATCATCATTTTTGTTATTATCATCGGAAGATGTTCCCAATACACGGCGGGGATGTGCTGTGGGACATTGTGGGGGGACAATCTTGTAGGGGGCTGGTTTGAACCTTACTAGGATTGTTCAAAACATAGAATAAACCGGCCAAACCAATTTAACCTGAAGTGGTTGATTTTAAAACGAAGTTGGTCGGTTCTGGTTTCGTAAATGTTAAAAACCAATGAATAGATTTGGTCACGGGTTATATCCCTAAAAACCAAATTGAAACCGAACTGAAGTACTAACTAATATTTAGATTAAAATACGATGACATGGATTAACGAGAAACCAGACCTTTTTATCACCTCTTACTTTTTCTTTTTTTTTCTTAGAAGAAGTACCAATCAGCCCAGATCAAAATTCTCTAGCCCCAAAGTACAGGGGTAATGCATCCTGACCGTGAATTGATGCCAAATTCACGGGCAGAATGTGGTTTATAGGGAAGAGGGCTAATAGTAGGGGGGGGGGGGTGGAATTCAGAATTCTGCATCCTATGTTTTCGTACTTCTCCGTTTTTTCTTTTATAACCTACTTTGTTAGTAACGTCTCTCCTCACAGTGACCGATGGTACAACTGACCAATCAGTCATTCATCCTCTCTCTTTTTATCTCTCTCCCGATCTCTCCCACATGACCAATGCATCCTCTCTCTCTCATGTCTTTTCGATTGGCTGATTGTATAATTCAACATCTCTTTTATTTTGCTTAGTTAACCAATTAAACCAACCAAACATAAAATAATTTCAAACTCAGTTTTATGATATTATTGGTCGATTTGGGTCGAAACAATGACAAACTCAACAATGTTAGTTCGGTTGGCAAAAATAGGTAAAACTGAACCGAACCAACCTGTGTATAGCCCCACACCCTACCTACATAGTTTCCACCATGAGACAAAAATTTCTTCTAAGAATGGGTGGGAATAATAGAGAAAGGCGTGGTTTGAGAAAACATATTTTTTGGTGTTTTTTGTTTTTTTTTCATTTTTTACTGTTGCTAGCAATAATATACTGACATGGCATTCAAAAATGCATATGTGGCAGCAACAACATTGGTACCAAATAGAAAAGAAAAAGGAAAAAGTTTTCTAAGAAAACGGCATGCAATGTTGCACTGTTTTCTCGAAAAACATCTCAGGAAATGAAATCTTTGGTCTTCAAAAGACCATGCTCACACTATTTGCACAGTCCCTTGCAACCTTGCATTTGAAATATTTTCTCATAAAAAAAGCATACAAGTATAGAGATATTCCCAATATATAATTATAAAAGGCTGTGAAAATGCTGTAAACACAGTCTTATGAGCACTAAACCCGATCTCTCAAGAAATGACATTGGTTCCACACACTGCCAAAGTATCCCCATTTTCATTACTGTAGGTTGATTATATGATAAGACAAAACATAGTCTTGTCCTTGGTTTTACATCGAGGGTAGGGATTGCAGTTTTTGCACGTTCGGTTTGTTAATTCTAAATCTCTAGAAATTCATTATGCTTTTTTAATAATAAGCTTAGGGTTATCCAGACGTAGAAGAAAAAATACATATAAAGTTAGGTGGGTTTGTAATGGTTGTTTGTTCTTCCCCTATTCGACCTAAATACATAAGGTGGGCCTCTCTTCCTGGCTCTTGATTACTGAAACTGAATATATATTAAAGGGTAAATTAAAAGACCCCCTGGATAACAATTACCTCATAAACTTTTATTTGTGACAAACACCACCCTATACTATGGGGTCATGACAATTATCCTCTTAAGCCATAATTGACCCAAAAATACCTTCATTTTTTCCAAACAAAACCAGCTAAATGATTCATTTCACTAACATCAAGGTTCAAAGTATCGATACGTATCGGGCCATATTGGCCGATATGTATCATATCGGGGACTTCCCGATACGCCCCTACAGGGGGTGTTTTGGGGTCTCGACTGGTTGAGAGGGTGGATAGACCTTAAACCGGTCCCTCTGAACCAAATTTGAAAAAACTAAAAAAAGAACTATCGATACTGCCTGATACGCCACTATCAGCATATTGGGTGTATTGATATTTTGAATCTTGACTAACATAGAAAAACAAGTTTCTTTAAATTCTTGTTTCATTTCACTAATACTAATGTCTCTCTCTCCATCTTAAAATATAAAAATTGTCCACTCCTTTTGTTAATAAATTAAAAAACAAACAAAACTTAAATTTATATCTATAAAAAAGAAACCTCTGCCATTTCATTTGGATATTGAATCCTACCAATAGTCTACAATGATCTCTTAGAGCAACTGAGAGGACTTCAATATTATATTTAGAAAACTAATTGAATCATAAATTGTTCAAATAAATAAGAAAAGGGTAATTTGGGAACTTAAAAAAAATTAACAACTGAATGAGAACCTTTTTCAGATTTAATTGATGGAACTCTAATGAAGGGGGTATTTGTCCTAAAGTGA